ATGATGTTCGCCTGCTGTTTGTGGTTGTGTGAAGTGTCAAGGTAATCAGTGCCTCGCATAAGCGTTTGTTTCATTTAAACTGCATGTCATCATATATATCTACTGTTACATGGCTATTCCTTGATCTTAATTGATTGAGTCAGTCGTTAGATTCTTTTTTCACTCCATGGTATTTTCAAACCAAATGTAACTGGCACTGGGAAGCAGCCTCTCGTCTGTGGCTCTCTTTGCCCAGTTGGGAGTTGACGCGTGGTTATAGAAAGAAAGAACCCCTGGGAATAGCTCACACATTTCAGCTGACATTGGATACCTGGCTAAAGGACCACCATGTTCTGCTGATCCACTGCTCTACTTTCACACATCTTTCTTTTTCAGCCCCCCTCCAACCTATCTCTTCTCTCTCTGTGATTACTATCTATTTTATCACTAGTACTGACCTGACTTAAATGAGCTGTTTTGAACTTTCCCTTGTTCTTAATCAGTACTTCATTCTTAAAAGATCACACATAATTAACCTTTTAGGTGTGAAGGCTGGGGTTTCTGTGGACCAACAGACAGTACTATACCAGCATGTGTGATTTATAGTCAACTATTGCAACCCTGGTTGCAAATACTTTGGACTTTCTCTACAAAAATTCTCGTGTGTGTGTGGGTGTTGTTGTGTATGCGTGCAGATTGTAGAGGAGGTGTTGAAGTTGAATGAAGACCCCAGGGTGCATGGAGTCTACCCACCTCCCCCTGCTTCCCTCACCAGTCGAGTGCTGAACACACTCAAACCTGAGAAGGATGTAGACGGGTAAAAAACCTGCACTAGCTAACTTGTATCATTCATTCAAAACTGTTGAGTTTTCTACTCTCACAAAGAGAGGCACAACAGTGAAGAGCATAGCTCTTCCAAAAAGCACAAGTTCTTCACTGTGTTGATTTAGGATGGTTGTCTCTTTTAATTAATTTCCTTTAAAAGGACTTGACATGCTATATGTGGCAGTAGATATTTTAAGCAGCAGTCAGCCAGGTATCAGTGGTTGTAATTCTCTGTCCCAACAGAGATAATTGCATTTACTCACATGGTATGTCAAATTGGCCCAAATCAGAAAGGGCTGCACAGAATTAAGACTGTGGAAATGGAGGCAGACAAGTGAATGACAAAATTAGCAAAGCACCCTTCATAATCACAAATGAAAGAGAATTGGTTCAGTCAAGGACAAATTATGTAAAGAAAATTCACAAAAAATGGTTACAGTTGTCCCATGAAAAGCCGAGTATTTATTTTTAGTGTTTGATAAAGATTTTTTTAACCAGTAATCATAGATCTCTGTCCAATAATAAAATCTAAAACTACTCAAATGCTGCTCACCAGTGTTAAGCTTTACCAGTAACTCATAAATTATGTGCCTCATGTGTATCCATATTTAAATTTTACCAATGTACTTGATGCTGTTCATTCATATCACTTAACAAAACAACCTTTAACCTGTAAAAAGAGACCAACTTCCAGGGAGAAAATTATCCATTAAATTTGATTATGTTGAAAATTAAATATATTATATTTATGTCCATTTTGTTTTAGGATATCAGATTTGAATTTGGGCCGTCTGGTACGAGGAGACCTGAGCAAAGGCTTTCTGCCACCCATAGCCAGCGCTGTCCTGGATCTCCTGGAGAAACATGGTGAGTTTCTGGGAAGGGAATTCAGTCCCTTCAGTCCCTGAGGCTGGGCTGTAACACATGGAAATTGCTTAACTCATGAAAGGTAAAGGAAAAACTTTAGAAACACTTTAATATGTGTAGCTGTAACGGTGCTACATGTGCTTCTGAAGGGACTCGTTACAGAGACGGCACAGCATGGAAAGTGATTGCTGACATGCTAACCAGTTTTGTACTATTTACTACAGTAATACTATAAAGTATACTCTACCAAATGTACTAATTTTGTTTGTTGTTGCAGTTAGAATAGAAGAAATGAATGTACTTTACTGTTGAATACTAGCAGAAAATGATACTATACTTAAATGACTGATGATGAATTTCACGTAAACTGCAACTTTGGAAGACCCTTGTCAATTTTAAATTTCATGTGTGGATAGGTTCACGGTTATTCTCAGTTTCTCTGAAACAACTGGTATAACATAGATGTACAACTAGATTCACCAACATGTTTGTCCAGTTGTAGTGGTATTTGGGGGTGGTACATTTCAAAAAGATAAAGTTTATGGTTATTATATTTGAAAATGTACCACATATCAGCATGCCTTATCTGTAATTATGACAGCAAAGCCATTTCCATCCATGTTCAGACGCTCAGTATTTTAATAAATGAAGCATGTCCTAAGGTTGCATTAAACCTTTCTACAGATGCTCCTTTGGAAGGGAAAACTGTGTTGCTGGTCGGAGGAGAAGGAGCACTTGGGGTAGCCCTGCAGTGTCTGATTGAAAGAAGTGGAATGGTAGCACTCAAGAGCCATTGGCACTCCAAGAACCTACAGAAACAGGTGTTTGTATATGATTCTTTCTTTATTTTCTTGATGTTTTTTATTTACCCAAAATATATTTTATAAATGTACGTTTTTAATCATTCACCCCCCTGTAGACTTGAAAGGTGACTTTTGAGAATGATTTGTTTTGAAAGGCCTACCCCCAAAGCCATCACTTTACAACTGATTATTTGTCATCCACTTCTCATCCTCCATATACTCATCATCTGTTTTCATTGTTCACTTGCGCCAGTTACAGTATGTGCAGTTTTAGTGGCTGGCCACATGGAGTCAGTCTCTGCTTTTTTAAATGTAATGTGATCAGCTGTAACAGAGCTAACTTGAACCGTTTAGGTACTGGTAATTAAAAGTTATATATATTTTTTACTCGTCAGTCACATTTGACTGCATGATTTTTTTAGGTTAATTTGTCATAAGTGTTTATGCCCTTTTACACATACAAGACATAACACACTTCTAAACTCTAAATCTTCACCTCTTTAGTTTTTGCTTCATAGCTGTTTTTTTTAATTGCCTTTCCTTTTCTTATTTCCTAGGTGATGCAGGCTGATGCTGTGGTTCTGTTAGGGGCAGGAACATTGGATGTCCCACCCACCTGGGTTAGACCAGGGGCGGCTGTCATCTGCTGTGAGCCCACCCTGAAGACAGGTATTGTAGACTATATTGTGACAGCCATCGCATTCACTTTGCATGGGCTTGAGCTCTTGTGGGGGGGGGGGGGTGGCAATTAACACCTGTTTGCTTGGATTATAAACCTTGCTGCTGCACAATCCTGTTTGCTGCTTACCTTTCATTCACTGACACTCACTTACAGTGCTGTCTTCCTTTCACTCGTCTCATTCGCTCCGGTAAAATATATAAATTTTAAGCAGTAGCTCATGACGGGCTTCGATAGTAATATTTTTCAAGTTATTGTGTCAAAGTTACAAATTCCAGTATTCTGACAGCACTAATATAGACATACTAGTGTAGTCAAGATTTAAAATATAGTATAATACAGTATTTGGCTTTTCTTTTTTTTTTCAGCATGAGTGACATTTCTTGTTCATCAAATATAAATTATAGAATGACGTGTAGCATTACTCTTTATTGTATAGACAGCCTTAGCAAGTTTTCCCCCTCTGCTGCAGTTGTGAGTTACATACTGTATGGTGGGACGCAGCATGTGTCCTCTGTTTTTCATATCTTTGTACTCTGTCCAACTCTCGTTTCACATTTGGAGCTGCATGTTTTTACTCAGCATGAGCATTAATCATACTGTTTTTTTGTTTCAGATGAACATGCTATTAAGATGTCCTCAAAATCTGGTTTAGGAAACCTCATAGCAGCTTACAGAACCCAGGTGATTCTCTTTGTTTCTGACTCCGTTCTCGCCCCGTTCTGTCTTCAGTGTTCTTTAACTTGTTCTTTCTCTCCTTTTTTTCTGACTAGAATGTGGTGCGTAGTTGCAGTCGGTGGCTCCAGGAGCAGCAGTACCAACCCTGGCGTCTGCGTAGCCTCAAACTGCAGCCCCTGACCCCTGTACCAAGGTGAAGACCCTCATCTACCACTAATAGGAATTTTAACTGAATCTACCTGAATGCAGGATCTTTTTTTTTCTGAATGTAGTATTCTTTTCTCATGCCATACAGTTCTGAGTTACACCTGCACCTATGTGAATGTTATATGAAAGAGGCTGAGCGTAGTGTGTAAAAATAAAAGACACTGTGTACATATTTGATTCTTTAAAATGATTCTGTTCTGTGGTTATCAGTGACATAGAGATTTCCAGAGCTCAGACGCCTAAGCCAGTGGACCAACTGGCTAAGGAGATTGGTCTGCTGCCAGAAGAGCTTGAGGCCTATGGCAGGAACAAAGCTAAGGTCCGACTCTCCCTGTTAGACCGTCTCCACACACAACCTGATGGGAAATATGTCCTGGTTGCCGGGTGAGCATGACTTACTAATCAACTGAATCCTTTTCCTTAATTATCTTATTACTTCAGTGCCCCAGAGTGCTTAAATTTGCAATGTGAAAGAAGTAAGCCCTGCTGATCCTTAGCCATGGGAACATCGCCAAGGAATCTTTCTACATCTAAGCATATTGTTTGGCTGCAGACTGAATGTGATTATGACATCAATGTACATAGACTGAATGACATTATTCATGCCAAAAATATGAAATTCAATAATTTTCTGTGTTTTCTGTATGTCTAGTATAACTCCCACCCCACTGGGCGAAGGTAAAAGCACAGTGACCATCGGCCTGGTCCAGGCCCTGTCTGCCCACCTTAAGCTCAACTCCTTCGCCTGTCTCCGACAGCCTTCCCAGGGACCCACCTTCGGAGTTAAAGGTCAGCAATGAATACTTAGGTCAATGTGCTAACTGTACATGACATATCATGTCTGAAAAGTATGCTTTCACCTCTCTGTGTTCTCTCTGCATTACACGGTAATACAATACATTAATATTTTATTTTGACGATAATCATACCAAAACTAATAAGTAGTAGTTTTCTTACTCTATTATTTTGTAAGAAAACTATTACAGTGAATAAGAACTTCAGTTACATTCTTTAAGGAGGTGTATTTTCATGACAGAAAGATGTCCAACTGTTTCACATGGTGGATGTTTTTAGAATGAAACTCCTAACAATGTGTGGAATTTGAACAAAGCCAGAGACAGGCGCCCAAATCAGCAGTTAGGAATGTGTCAAGTAACTGTTTGATAAGCTATCTTTGTCAGCATGAGCCTAGTGTTTCATACCCTGCTACATTTTTTGCTGGGGTGGAGCAGTTCACCCAGTCCTGCACTCAGCATTCCTCCTTTGTGTGTCCCTGTCCTGTTTGTCGGCCTCTGACTGTGCTACCTCTTCTTTGTGCCTAGGGGGAGCTGCAGGAGGGGGATATGCCCAGGTCATTCCTATGGAGGAGGTAAGATACACAGACGCTCTGAGTGCTCCCTAACAAGACTAGCGCAGGCTTCAAAGACCTAAGACATGCAGAGACTCACACCAGTTTATATGAAAGCGCATAAATACACACACACAACCCCTGGGGCTGTGGCATAATATTGCCTGTGACTAAAGGCACTGTCCGTGAAGGCCAGGAGGGAGGGTGGTTTTGAAGCTTCCGACACATAAGGCAGTGTCCTTTTCTCATACCAAAACACAAGCTTTGTTGAGCTTTTTCCTTCTACCACTCTTTCTTCTCACTTCCTCACAATGTTTTGTTTCCTTTAAATCGAGGGGCTCATACCAAACAGACAGAATATGTGTCATAATATTTTTAAAGACCTAAGTAACAAAGTCAAAACTCTGAAGCCACATTTATCTTGTGATACCAAATGTTGTGATTACAACCCATAAACCCCCATTGTTAGAGGTTTTTATTTCCACTGGGGCCATCCAAACCATTACAGGAGAGAGTGCTTTTGATTATTTTGTGTAATCACTCACCTCTCTTTCTCTTTTTCTGTTTGTTCTTTTGCTTTTGTTTTGGGTATCTTGCCCTTCAGTTCAACCTCCACCTGACTGGTGACATACATGCTATCACAGCAGCCAATAACTTGGTGGCAGCAGCCATCGATGCCAGGATGCTCCATGAAGCGACGCAGTCAGACAAGGTGACCATGTGGTGTCAGTCAGTAACAAACGCATTCTTACACTGCCAAAAAAAAATAATTTTATCACATACTGTATATAATTAGTTTATAGCCCTGTTTTTGGCCCATTGCCCATACCTCAGATGGTGAACCTCCCCATGTGTACATACTACAATCTTATCTTGTTATGTCACTAAAGATTCACAGGGAAGCCTGGGAAACAATGTCACAGAGACAATTAATAGTAGCCAATCTACGTAAGAGCATGCCATTTATGTCTCAATTACATTTAGCAGTCCCAACCATGACATCAGTCAACAGTATTCCATTAAAGAAAACATTCTTATCCCCCAAGGTGCTATTAAATGTACTGTATATGCAAATACACTCATGAATTGCATGTAATTGTTTTGTCTTATATATTCAAGGCCCTGTTCAATAGACTGGTCCCTTCAGTGAATGGAGTCAGAAGGTTTTCACCCATCCAAATCTCCAGGCTGCGAGTAAGTCTAAACACTGCAGTGGCAGCATCACTAGTGGGAAAAAAAAACACTGTTGTCCACTAGGGGACCCCAGTGAGCCTATCTTTTAAAAGGACCCTCTCTCCCTCCAACATGTCACCATCAGCAAATGTTAGTTTATATCTTACGATCTGTTTTTATGTCTACGAATAATGCTGTTTTATGTAGGGTGGATGAAGAATAATAATATCAAGTCTTAACAGATAAAATACATATGGCAGATGTTTGAACATAAGTCAACTCAGTATTTCCCTTTCCTGTTGCATTAAAAGCCTCTTAATGGATACAGTGAGAGATGTATATAGTGTAAGAGTTGTATGTGTTTTTCAAACACAGCACTCCCAGTGAACCTTTTGAACCTCTGTAGTCCTTGTAGTCTGGAATTGCTTTTACATGCCGGGATGATCATGTGTCCAGCTGATACTGACATAGCTAGAAAGATAGATTGTTTGCACCACTACTATCTAGCAGCCAAACATTGCACTTTTCCAAAAAGACGTACAGACAGTCCCTTAATCTTCTTTCTCTCTTCTAATTTCAGCGTCTAGGGATCAGTAAAATAGACCCTGCATCTCTCACACTCCAGGAAGTCAGCGCCTTTGCACGTCTTGACCTTGACCCTTCCAAGATCACCTGGCAGAGAGGTATCTATAGATATCTACAGCAATTCATTCTGCACATTACTTCCGGTTTCTACCTTCTAATAGTGAAGGGCAGTGATATTGAAATGCAGCCTTTTTATATGTTCTCTTTTTCCCCTTTAGCCCAAACTAATAAAGACAACTTGTATGTCTGTGAAATATTAAGTAGGATTTGTGTTTGCTTCTTCATCCAGTGTGGATTGTCATTCCTTTGCTTCTTTCACATAAAACTAGTGTTAAAATTAGAGCTTCTCCTGGAACACACGTTTAAACTAAATCAAAATGTTTTAGCCTTGTTTTTTTTGGTATGCAGTGTTATTTACAGAAATGTGTGATTTACTAAAATGGTGATTATATGGCATTGGTTGTGTCAACCACACAGCCACAAACATCTTAGAGATGTTTTAAATGGGACAATAATATGAAAAATTATATTTTATGTTTGGTTTTATAGTTCATACTGACATGAACTCTCTCAACTTTCCCTTGTCAATGAAACGGTAAGGCTTGTTGCACCATGTATGACTTTCTACAAGCACAGAGTCATAATAATGATCAAAATATCATGACTATCACACAAATCTAATTTACATTAAGTAAGACCAACATCCCATGGTTCATATTCAAAGTCTTTTATGAATTCATTACTAAAGAGTGTCACATGCAATCTTGAATTAGAATGCATTTTCCATTTTTTATATAGGGAAACTTAATTGCAGTATGTTGGTATTCGCAAATGAAAAGTGGCCACTACAGCGCTCTCTGGCCCTTGTGTTCATATTGTATTAACACATTTATTGTAAAAGCGTTGCAGTCATCAGTCACAGGAAAATAAATGTGAGTATGGTAGGAGTGGAAGTAGCTATCTCAGTGGTAGCTGTGTTGGTTTAAAGTTGTCAGTGACAACAACCAGCCGGGTTCTGCTATGACTGATGTGGTATTTACTCTAGTGGCTCCAGAGGGCATTCTTATAAGTTGAACCCTGGAGATTAAAAACAGATTTACCACCTAATGGTATGTCGGGGCAACTATGTGTCTGTGTTCATGAAAGACACCATGTTTTTTCTCTTTCCCTTTCATTACTTTAAACTAACATGAGGATAGTGTTTGACTAATGTGGTTCCCATGCTCATTGTATTAACAGTGAAGCCACAGAGTAACCAATTTCTAGCCACCTTACAAGTGAAATTTAAAGTAGGAAATCCCTCATAGCATAAGCACATGCAGTGTGTCTTATGTGTGTGTCTGTGTGTGCAAGCCTGTGGATGTGCATTGGTATCTATTTATGTGTGGAAATTGATTTTTACAGTCTGTCAGGTTCAGGCTGTAAAGACAAATCTTTTGTGTCGACGAGTCAGGTTAAGTTGTTTTTATTACTTTATTTAAAGTTTTGCCTGTCATTGATGCTATGCCAGTTTTCATACTTAAAGTAGTATATTTTGCGCGAAATTTACAGGCCATTAAATGGCATTTTTGTCTTTGCAGTTGTTGACACAAATGACCGTTTCTTGAGGAAGATCACCATCGGACAGGCAAGCACTGAAAAAGGACAGATCAGAGAGGTATGCAGCATTCATGCCTTCACAATCTTGATTCTTGAATTTATGACGTAGTTTTAAAATATTTGTCACCCACCGGCTTGGTTTGTGTATTTTTATGATAACCAGAATATGACTGCTTCTGCTGCATCAGTTTGGGACTGAGGCATCTACTAATGCTAATATGTTACATTCCTGTTCATTGCAAATATATTCTCATTCACTCACAGTATGACAAACAGTGATATCACTGCAGTGTTTCCATTGCAGAGGTTTTGCATGAGCATGGGTCTAATATTATTATAAAGGTGGCACGACATGTCTGCATTTTTAGGGATTCATACAGTAAGTGTATAAAAACTTTCCCATGCGGGGACACAGACACACTCCCCTCCATCCCCTCCTCTGTCTAGGATAAAGATGCATTTCACCCATATGTCTGTAGTAATGACAGCCAAATGAAATCCTGTAAATAAACACTTCACCTCAATGGGAAGCAAGCAGGCCTAAGTGAAAGCAAATGTTTAAGTGAAAAGAAAAATGACCCACCCTTACACACACACACACACACACACACCTGGAACAGTCTCAGAGCTAGTTCAGCATATGCTTGCATTTACTGCCATTAGTTTGTCCATTCTGTTTCCCTTTCACTCCTCTGTCCTCCACCTTTCTCCATCTCTGAATCTCTGGAGCTCTCAGGATACACTATAGCCCCTCAGGGTTTTATCACCGGGAGTGGGAATAGAAATGTTTTTCCTTGGTGGATTGATGTGGTTTGAGTTATGTTTTAGTTTTTGGTGATGTGGAATGGAGACTACTTTGGTTTTCTGTACTCTTCCCTGTGAATGGACTTGTTTTCTCAAAAATCAATACAGTAAATTTCATCAAAAATAAGTTTAACATGTTCATAGTTTTAATTAAATAATTTTTCATAAAGTCTAAAACAAGGCCATGTTCATAAGATTCGTATAATCTTGCCCATGTGATAAAGCTGGTGACTATGGTCAGTGGAGAGTTGCCAGCTTTCTTCCCACATTGGTCTTCAGAGTCAGTCAGGGATAAAACATATCATTCACTCTCAAAACTATTATTCTTTACTGAGCTGTCACCACCTTATAAAACTAAGTGACATATAATTTATTGTGAAAGTGTAAACATATTGCTTTGCATCGTAGCGGCAAACTTTCACACGATTTCACACAATAGTAGCCGATTTGTATGTTCATATCCACCAACTCCAAGCCACTGAACAAGTACTTTGTTGTTTACATTGTATGATTTTCCTGTTCTCACACTCCAGACTGGGTTTGACATAGCAGTTGCCAGCGAGATCATGGCCATCCTGGCTCTGGCCGACAGCCTGGAGGACATGAAAAACAGACTGGCACGCATGGTGGTGGGGACCAGCCGCTCTGGACAGCCTGTCACCGCAGAGGACCTGGTGTGTGTTACCGTGTCTTTTCATTAAGAGGGTGTGGGAATTTTAAATCGTTGCTACATCTCAGAATTTCTACCGTGAAAGTGTTAAATCAACTCCAGTTTTCTTTTTTTTAGTTCAGATAAATGAAGAGACTTTCTGTGTCATCACCATGCAGAAAGAACTGTAAAAAGTTAGGTATGTTATGTATTGAACAGTCCTACATTTTTGGTTGGGACATCTGTGGCGTTTTGTATGCTGCTAGGAATTTTTCCAACCCAGGGAAAAAAGGCCACAACAGCTTCTTAAATCCCAATTGTTAACAAAATTGTAGTGGCTGACAGAGATTAACACGCTGCAGCTTAAGAAAACGCAACATATAAACAAACAAAGAAATTCATGAAATCATCACCACTTTGACCACACATACATTACATAAAAAAACTATATTGCCACTTTGACAACCGATGCATGGTATAAAAAAGCATGCTGCAAATCCACTGCAGGCAATGATTAGTCAAAATAAGTCTATTTTAGTTTTAATATTATGATTATGAGATTCTTTATTATTCGAGCTACCGTCTAAACAACTAAACTTCTGTTGTGTTATAAGTTCCAACATAAGTCAACTCAGTATTTCCCTTTCCTGTTGCATTAAAAGCCTCTTAATGGATACAGTGAGAGATGTATATAGTGTAAGAGTTGTTCCGTTATTATGTAGGACTTGCAGTGTTCATCTGCTTGCTTGTGTTTTCAAATTGATTGAGAGAGTGTTGTCCAAGTAGTGACAATCTTCTTATTCTTCTGCATTTGCTTGTGTTGGTCTATTTGCTTGTATTTTCTTATATTGCAGTGCACTGAGCAGTCATCTGGCAGTCATCTGAAATCTTGTGTGTTTTTGTTGACACGTGTATAAAACATGTGAAACAGGACCCCACATCGTCATCATTTAGTCTCTGCTGTCAAACTTGCCGCTTCGAATTTTCCTCTTTTCAAAACAACACATCTAATCTAGGTGTAACGTGCGACTATGATGCTGAGCAGAGTTCACCAGATCCATCTGTGGCGTCAGCTGGCATTGGTTTGGCACAGAAGACTGCAACCTATGTTGTTTCAGAGCCGTAGAGGAGGATCCCCTATAAAGTTACATTAGTCTTTCTGATTAGTCTGGATGCAAAAACATCACTACACCTCAGAGCAAGCCCCAGTGAGAATATGGCGTGTGTGTGTGTGTGTGTGTATATGTTTGTTAGTGTGTTCACATTGCTGACGACAAGGCATATTTTGAGACACAAGCTTTACTTCTGCTGTTAAAGCGTAAAGGACAGAAACCTACAAATGGACTGTAGTGCCATTTATCATGTGTAGTTGACAAACATTTGAGCGTTCTTGTATTAGGGACGTTCAGTTTTTTGTCTGACTCCTAACAACTTGCTCTTGTTTTCCAACCAACACCTTCATATTTCTTTCTTCCTCCCCGTCAGGGTGTGAGTGGAGCACTGACGGTGTTAATGAAAGATGCCATCAAGCCCACGTTGATGCAGACCCTCGAGGTGAGACACACATAACCCCACTTAAATACTCATTATCCTGCTCAACTGAGCGTCTTCTGGTAAAATTCTTGCAGAATAAATAGGCTGGCCGTCCACAGGGACATTGGAATTGTGTAGTAGACCTACCTGTACTTCTGCTTTCAGATAAAAGAAAGAAGGAGAAAAGAGTTCTCCTCTGAGAGCTTTTAAGGAGTGATGATCGATTGGCCTCATCCTCCCAAGGCTCTTTATCTTAATAGCAAGTTGGCGGTGTGTAGAGGGCAGGTGGAGCTCTCAGACAGGAGGCCAGCATATCCAGATTCACACTGCCCTAAGGAAACAGTTTAATTTGACGACTGGTGTGGACCTATACCATAACTCTGCCTCGCGCTACATCTGGCTTTCATTTTGCTTTTGAGACTTTACCGTTAGATGAATGGACACTCGCACATAAACAATTCTTGCATGTGCACAAACACGCATATGCATTTACCATCAGTGACCCTAAGTTGTCCCTGTGCTAGAGGGATGAGCCCAGCCCTGAAAGTGATGGTTGGAGATGTGGAGAGGAGTGGGGTTTGGAGGTTTTAATGGATTGAATGAACCGATAACAAACCAAACATCTAGTCTTAATCTTTGGCCTTTCTGGTACAGCAAAAGCCAACTTAGAAGAAGCACTGCATTTATAGGAGGCCGGCCCATTAGCTAACTTATCCACTAAAGGATGAGGATGTAGTCTTTGAAATCGACCATGTAGCCTGGGCCTGGTATCATTCACTTCTTTCAGTCCTTATTGTGTCAGTAGGCATAAAATATTTGCTTTTTTACCGTTTACAGTTCTAATATTTGCAACCTTTTAAACCTTCTATGGTGCAAACTGAATATCTTTAGGCTTTAGACTGTTGGTTGGACAAAATAAGACTTTTAAAATTGAAATAACCAGCAGACAGATTGATAATGAGTATACTGTCAGTTACATCTCTATATATCGTATTCTGTGTAAAAATAATATTTGTTTATAAATTATTAATATTAATAATTATTATTGGTCAGATTGACTTGGCATTTATCTGTTGAACCAGTGTAAATGTTAAAAAAACATGAACACTGCTAGTTACCCAGTTCACTCAGCATAGTGAATGGAAGTGGCTCTAAACCTGGGGGTTGGACTCTGTACGTACAGGCGAAGGCCGTCTGGTTTATTTTTTATGTTGATGCTCTCAGTGTTTGCTTTTCTCACTGGGAGTCTGAAACAATGGGTGGTGGGCCAATGGTTTGCTGTACCAGCAAAGTGTATTTTTCTGTTGGATTGATTTAAGTCATTAAAGTTTACAATGTTAGCAGTCATGCTTCTGCTAATTGTTTTTGTAGTAGGTCTATTTTTCGTTATGTTTGTTCCTTCTTGGTTTTGAGCAGAAAGCTTGATTACATGGCTGCTGGGTGGGGAAAATAAATACAGGCTGGATGTTTTCAAGTGTGTAGAGGGGGGTGGAGTGTTTCATAAAGCAGAGATTTGGTAACTTTCTGTTTTTTTGGAGGAAGCATTGCAGCCCTGTTCTGTGAAACCATTTCCTGTGTGTGTTTCCTGTGATTCTGGTTAGGGAACTAGTATTGGGACCAACCAGGCATCAGAGCTCCATGAGAATTTTCCATTGAGCTTGAACGCCTGTGTGCCCTTTATGCCCTCCAGGCTCGTGATTGTGTGTGTTGATATACAGAAGCACACATGAGAATAGATGTGCCATATGGAAGATAGTGAGTGTGTGTGTAAGAGTGTGCATTTCTGTGTTGTTTCACATGGAGAATGGTTTGGAGCACAAGAGGAAAAGGGATAGTTTTTAAACCCACTCCCTCTGTCTATTAAGCAGACCTCAGTTATTCTGTGCATTTTTTTTAAACATCCTGTCTACGTGGAGTTTCGCCAAACCGCATGCATCTTTCCATGGGTGAGGCAATGGATCATAGCATAGCCAATCAGACGTGTGAACACAGGCTTTCAGGAATCCTTGTGTTTGAAAATCTAGGCTTGGGAACATTTTGTTAATGTAGCACTGATGTGCAGCTTGTGTAGTGGAGGGTACAAGAGATGCACATGAAGAGGAAAACAGTGACATGATCTGAATTTTCCTGTTTTTGTTCATTTGCCTAGTCTTCATAATCCTCTTGTCCACCAGTTGAAGAGGTTACACACTCGACTTTTCTATTATCTTCACGTGTTGCGGCTTATTTATTTCCTGAATCGCAGTCCCTAGTGTAAGGATGTGGAACGAGTGTAGAATGTGAACTGGATCGAGTGAAAGTTCAGAAGTTACGTTGAAATCTACATAATGTGTGACGTGTGTTAACGTTCCATCAGAATAAAGAAAGAAACATTGTATTGAATTGATAAGGGTAATAAAAGGATGTTTTTGGATTATATTGTGCACTCTTTCTCTCTTTTTCCCTTTTCCTGACACTTTCTCTTCATGCAGTTAGATGCTGCTGTAATCGGTATCACTAGTTTACATAGACAAATAGACAAGTGGCAGCATTTGTCAGAGCCTTGTTGAATGGCTGATTTACTCCTCCGAGGGGAGGCTGTTTATGCAGGCAGAGGGAGAGGTATGCAAACAAAAGCTTAGAAAACCACGCAAATCCTTCCTTTTTCCTCTCTCTCAAGGAATTCACATGCATTGTAACAATGGATCACTTGGCTTTCCTCACTTTTCTTCTTGACCTGTTTTCTCAGTAATGTCCTTTTTTTTTTTTTATTAAGTCTGTCATGAGTGCAACGAAAGGATCGTGCTTAAAGGAGTAGAACTCTCCTTGGCAACCGTACTCTTTGATGTCTAAGTTGGATGCACACAGAAAAATACCTTTTGAATAATTCAGAACGAGCATTGCAGTGCTGTTGCCCGCAAACCTTTCAGGATACAGTGGGTACGGAAAGTATTCAGACCCCTTTAAATTTTTCACTCTTTGTTTCATTGCAGCCATTTTCCAAAAATCAAAAAAGTTCATTTTATTTCTCAGTAATGTACACTCAGCACGCCATCTTGACAGAAAAAAACAGAAATGTAGAAATTTTTGCAAATTTATTAAAAAAGAAAAACTGAAATATCACATGGTCATAAGTATTCAGACCCTTTGCCGTGACACTCATATTTAACTCAGGTGCTGTCTATTTCTTCTGATCATCCTTGAGATGGTTCTACACCTTCATTTGAGTCCAGCTGTGTTTGATTATACTGATTGGACTTGATTAGGAAAGCCACACACCTGTCTATATAAGACCTTACAGCTCACAGTGCATGTCAGAGCAAATGAGAATCATGAGGTCAAAGGAACTGCCTGAAGAGCTCAGAGACAGAATTGTGGCAAGGCACAGATCTGGCCAAGGTTACAAAAAAATTTCTGCTGCACTTAAGGTTCCTAAGAGCACAGTGGCCTCCATAATCCTCAAATGGAAGACGTTTGGGACGACCAGAACCCTTCCTAGAGCTGGCCGTCCGGCCAAACTGAGCTATCGGGGGAGAAGAGCCTTGGTGAGAGAGGTAAAGAAGAACCCAAAGGTCACTGTGGCTGAGCTCCAGAGATGCAGTCGGGAGATGGGAGAAAGTTGTAGTAAGTCAACCATCACTGCAGCAATCCACCAGTCGGGGCTTTATGGCAGAGTGGCCCGACGGAAGCCTCTCCTCAGTGCAAGACACATGAAAGCCCGCATGGAGTTTGCTAAAAAACACCTGAAGGACTCCAAGATGGTGATAAATAAGATCCTCTGGTCTGATGAGACCAAGATAGAACTTTTTGGCCTTAATTCTAAGCGGTATGTGTGGAGAAAACCAGGCACTGCTCATCACCTGTCCAATACAGTCTCAACAGTGAAGCATGGTGGTGGCAGCATCATGCTGTGGGGGTGTTTTTCAGCTGCAGGGACAGGACGACTGGTTGCAATCGAGGGAAAGATGAATGCGGCCAAGTACAGGGATATCCTGGACGAAAACCTTTTCCAGAGTGCTCTGGACCTCAGACTGGGCCGAAGGTTTACCTTCCAACAAGACAATGACCCTAAGCGCACCGCTAAAATAACGAAGGAGTGGCTTCACAACAACTCCGTGGCTGTTCTTGAATGGCCCAGCCAGAGCCCTGACTTAAACCCAATTGAGCATCTCTGGAGAGACCTGAAAATGGCTGTCCACCAACGTTTACCATCCAACCTGACAGAACTGGAGAGGATCTGCAAGGAGGAATGGCAGAGGATACCCAAATCCAGATGTGAAAAACTTGTTGCATCTTTCCCAAAACGACTCATGGCTGTATTAGATCAAAAGGGTGCTTCTACTAAATACTGAGCAAAGGGTCTGAATACTTATGACCATGTAATATTTCAGTTTTTCTTTTTTAATAAATTTGCAAAAATTTCTACATTTCTGTTTTTTTCTGTCAAGATGGGGTGCTGAGTGTACATTACTGAGAAATAAAATGAACTTTTTTGATTTTTGGAAAATGGCTGCAATGAAACAAAGAGTGAAAAATTTAAAGGGGTCTGAATACTTTCCGTACCCACTGTAGGTCTGCTGCTTGTAAGCTAAAAGCAGCTGTGAGTTAGCCAGTAGTAGAGTTTCACCCCAGTTGAGAATGACCATTAGGTGTCATTGTAGAAAATCAATGTGAGATCATATCAGTGACCACAAGAACATCTGACTTACAGTAAATCCAAGGTGCAACATTAAAGTAGTGTAAGTACATAGAGATAAGTACACACACTCATAACTATGCTGATGTCAAATCTCATATATATAAAGGTAGATATTTCTGAACTCTCAGCAAGGTTAAGTTCAGCATACTCCCGATGGGGAACTGAACTCTTACATCTACAGAGGAGTAAATATTCAAACTGACAGTCAACCTTTCACCTTTATTAGATCTATGCACTCTGATATGAAATGTTAACACGTGTCTCACTGTTGTGTTTGTGTTTTGTAGTTGATCATGTTGTAAATATCAACAGAAAGTACTCGCCTGAGTGTCTTCTAGACATACAAACTTGCAGTTGAAGTGCTCTGTTAGTTTGTATGTTTCCAGCCTTTAGGGAGTTATCCAAATCAGCAGTGGAAGCAACCCTGGCCCACAGTCAGGCTGGCATACCAGTCGAGTACCCCTTAACTTGTGCTTACACAGTGCTAGCCAAAGTGCATGCACACTTAAATATTTATCCAGGATGTTTCTGAAGGATGGTGAATTTAGTATGAAAGAGCTGTTTAGTCCTTATTGAAACTTGGTCTGGTGAGTTGCACTGTTTTCTGACATCCTCCTGCATGTTTATGTGGCCCTCTCATTGTTGCAGGGTACGCCAGTGTTTGTCCACGCTGGGCCCTTTGCCAACATCGCCCATGGCAACTCCTCGGTGCTGGCGGACAAGCTGGCTTTGAAGTTGGTCGGACGGGACGGCTTTGTGGGTAAGAACACACACACACACACACACACACACACACACACACACACACACACACACACACACACACACACACACACACACACAAACTAAGGCAGAAGCACAACCACAAAACCTTTTTGGGGACGACGGGCAAGAGGATGTTAACTGTCTAGGAGCCCCAGATGTGGAAGACTTTAAGGCGTAAGCTTTCCTTAGCAGGGCATATTGAACTATAACTTATCATTTACTCCAGTCATGAACTTCAGCTATGCTTGCAATGAGCCTACACTCATCTCAATTCTGGTTTTGGCTCTGTTCTACATGCCTCTGCTTGACTAGTGTGTCTGCGTAACTTTCTAGGAAACTGGTGGAAAGATTGCGTAAAAAACACACAAGAGAGCGGAAGGAAGCTGATTGATAATCTTAAGAGCCCCTGGAATGCTTTAGAATAAACCACACTAATCCCTTCAACGTCAAAGCATACTTGAGTATTGCCATTTTTTATCTGTCTATCCATCTCCCTGCTGTCTTTCTGTCTTCATTTACTTCAGCAGCAAAAATATGTCTGGAATTTGTGTGTGTGTGTGTGTGTGTGTGTGTGTGTGTATGGGTTGCTCAGTTTGTCAGGTGCATTTACTGTACATGCAAATCTTGTCAGTGGTTATAATTATGTATGTGAGACGGTAAAAGCAGAAGGGTGACTCTTTGGGCATACACAACATTTACACAGGCTGTCACCTGTGAGCTGGGCAAATGTGTAGGAAGCCTGAGCAGAGAGTTAGGTTTCACAACACTGGAGCAGAGAAGCTGGGAGGCTTGTATGCATTTTACACCACCACCTCTCCACCCCACTTGTTTTCGATCTGTCTGTCTCGTTCCTTCCCTTCCCTGTCTGTGTGTCGGTTACCTGACTCTCAGGTATGCCAGGAACTCGACCTCCCTCTTTTCCTTCCTCGGCAGCTGGGATGCATGTATCCCCGTCTTGCACCCTCACTCCCCTCCTTCCCTCCCTCTTGAGCTCTGTTCCTACAAACTTTGACTTCTTTTAACTGGCCGCACCACTGAAAAGAACAATAATATGTCAGCAAAGTTAAGGAAATCCAAGTTAAACAAGGATAGTCTGTTGACTGTAATGGATTTACAACAGACTCTTTGGGTCAATATTTTATCGAATTCTTCGGTTTTCTCCCAAATAAGTTTGGCTAACCTGTGGGTTTCTTTTATAGTTGCTCTAATAAATACTTGGGTCAAATGACTATGTAATGTGAAAAGGGTCTCTCAGAGACATACCCACAGAGAATCATCACCCAACTCCTCAGCTGCAGCTAGTGACTTTCAGCTCAGTGTTTTGGTTTTACTGCTGGCAACTTCACTGTTTGGTTCCTTCTTCCTCATCAACTCTGTTTCCAGACAGCAGGCAGCTGTTTTGAGCAAAGAAAAAGAGCTCTAAAAACACACTGCACACTACCTGCTCAGCAGATGGCAAAGTAAGCTGGTTGGTTAAGACCCAGATACTTTGTCTCACGAGTTGGTGGAGTCCAGATTTGAGCTTAAATGAGAGTGAATATTGGACTTACATACTGCAAGCCAGGAGTCCAGAAACTTCAGGTTACAGAGGGACCCCGGTTCTCTGAATAATTTGCTTGGTGTCTCACGGTGGGGTACGCTCCTATTTTACATCTCCTCCCTACAAATGGGATGATGCTGCATCATAAGCTCATTCAAAAACACTAATTTGGCTCAAGGGCTTTACAATCTGTACATCATACAACATCCCCTCTCCTTAAACCCTGGATTTGGATTAGGATTAATTCCCCCCCCAAAATCCCTTAAACTGGGAGGGTGGAAGAAACCTCTGGAAAAACTAAACAGAGGGGGGATCCTTCTTCCAGGACTGACATGCATGCAATAGATGTCTGTGGAAAGAGACCAAAATAGCAAAATTACAACATGGAAAATCTGTTTGTCAAAATGATCACCTGATTGCTCCCCTTTCTTTTCCCAATCTTACAATTTTTTAGCAGTGTCGCCGCATTCTCAAGTCTCAGCAAATAACTTGATGAGTGCAATGTTATTACAGGATTGGACAGAGCAACGAAAAAGTAATGGCAATAATTATACAGTTCAGTTTAACTATGTCTAAAAGCTCCTCTGATGTGGCAAAGGAAGCACATGAACTCTTTGTGAACTCTGTGGGAGTGTGTGTATGAGCATACTCATGGCCATGCTTCATCATGCTCTGTATTATTGTGGGTTTTTCAAGTCACTTTGGAATTTGGACTTAAAATGGAGTAATGCTGCTATTGCGGGGAGGGGGCTGGTGGGGGATGAATTCCACATGCCAGATGTGAGGGATTCCTGTATCAGTCTGGAGTACTGAATACAGATAACCCCCCGATACTTACTGTATGATTCCCCACACTGCAACACCTCCCTAAACTAAAACAACAAATCATTTGGACTTTTAGAGAATTGGCCTCTAAGAAATTATGATACATTAGCATGTAAAGCGTTTCAAGCTCTACGCCCTTTTGACACCACTTTTTAAAAACATCTCATGACGTTTACTGTCACTGAATTAACTTAAACTTACAAGAGACTTAGAAACATACTGGATTGGGTTTTAAAAGACTTACTCTGATTCACTTGGTAGTTTTATACACTTTAGTCAAATTTCCAAATTGTCTATCCTAGATATCTGCGTCCACTGTGCATTTATGCTCTGGTTTGTAAATCAGAATCCGCATGTAATATGCAAACAAGCGTGCATTAATGCAGCTTTAAATGCATTGGTAGATACAGCCCTCACATAGTGTGATAGTATGAATTTAGAAGTAGTACTGAAATGATTAGATGGTTGAGAGATAATTAATAATGAATTAAGATCCATTATTAATTTAAAGTAAAAAATATGAAGAGTTTTATATCATTGTAAATTCACTATTTTTGTTTTTTTTGTTTTTGGACTGTTGGTTGCACAAAAGACACTTTGGGCTCTGCAAAATAGGCTAGCAAAGGGCATTTTTCTCTATTTTCTGACACTTAAAAAACTGATTTGTTGAACACATAATCAACAATAATGAAAATAATCATTAGTTGCAGTCCTTCTGTGTACAACATGGCTTATTGTGGAGAGCTCTAACAGGAAGAAGGTGGTCGTGTTGATCTAGCCTACTTTCCAGCCTTTTACGTATTGCTTTTATTGGCAGGGGTGCTGATACCAATGCTTTGACCGGTAGTAACACCATCCAGCTCTCTTTTCACTCGACACTATTGACCTTTTCTTCCCCTGTCGCTCTTTGGACAGTTCAAGGTTGTCACACAGAGCAGGAAGCTTGCGAGTGTTTCCTCATGACATCCTCTGGGGTCATTCTCCTGCTTGGTGAAATGTCATAGTCGAAGGCTTGTTGTAGTTGCTGTCATTAAATACTTGCTGTCTTTGTTTCCATTCTTTTCTCGCAGCTTTTGCTTTGCCTTAGTGTGCATGTGTGGTATGAGTACGCCTGTGCTAAGTTTTTGGGAGATCATTTATGGATATATCCACAAATCCTGTACCTAAGAATGTGATTTTCATTGGCAGGCTGGTTTAGTATTCAGAGCCAAAACTTTAGTGTGGTGCTAACATGAAACACTACACTCTGTCAGTGGCCAAATACAGTCTAGTTACATTCTTGTACTCATCCCTCAGCTTTATTTGTTGGTCTTTTACTTTTGAATTATGCTATTTTCTCCTTTTCACTATTCTCCTCTTGCTCTTGTCCCCAGAAGGTCTTCTCGCCCCTCTCTAACTTAATTTAACTCCTTGTCTTCTTTCCACTTCTAATCTTCATGCCTCTCCTCTCCTCTCTTCTCTTCTTGCAGTGTTTTTACTCTTGCTTGCTTCTCTAGTGAATAAATTGAACCACACAGAGCAGAGTGATGCATTTCTTCATGGAAACCCTTGTTTTCTCACTAAAGCCTCAGAGAGATGTACTTTATCAAGTGTCAGCCACAAGCACCATAAGCAACAGTGAATTACTCTTTTCTTACCAAAGGCCCCAAGTGGATAATGTTCTCTTGTAATGAAACGATGAATGTTTTCCTTTTCGTCTTTGCTGATTTCATAGTAAATTTATTTTTGGAAAAATTAATTTAATAAAATGTAAGCCTAATTAGATTTTTATTGCCATCCAGAATCGAGTACATAATAGATTTTCCGTCCTAAAGGAATTGATTCAAATCATTCCTGTATCCGACAGCTTAACTGTACTCTCTATAAAGTGTGCATTTACTGTATAGTTTCCTGGCATGCTTCCTAGTCAGGTTTCATTATTATCCTATTAATTGAATTAAATGTTCAGAGGGTAAGCTGTTGGTCATTGGCTGCCACACAGGCTGCCCATGCATAGATCATACAGACAGAAGGTGAATGCTACTGTGTTTTGATTTCACTGGTGGAAACAGTTGTGCTGGATATCCCAGTGAAATCAACGAAGACGTTTGGGCCTGCTCTAGCTCTAGTGGAAAAAAACATAAAAACTAATAGATCTTAGAATAATAAAGTGGTCATATCTAAACCAACCCTTGGCTGCTAAACCAAACCACCTGTTCACTCTTTCTCCTAGTGTTGTCTAGTTCTTATGTAACTGTACTATGATTCTCCCTCTGTCTCTCTGTGTCATTTAATGACTCTGTTTTCTCCAAAACATACCGTGTTTTCTGACAGAGCATCATTTTAGCCCTCTTGGCTCTCATTAGTTAATCATCATTTAAATTGTATTACAGGAAGCTTTTGTTTGACTCACCTGTTCATGCACTTGCAAAAAATATTACTTTTGCATTTCAGTTTAAGGCTATTTATGGTTCAGCTTTTCCTAATGTAGCATGAGTTGTCAAAATATGGTCACATGTACATACATTATACACTACGTCATATATCTACATTTTGGGAGAAAATGAAAACAAACTTAATTCTTAATAAATAAGGCTTTATTGGTCCTCTGGTGGTCACAAAATGCTCTTAAAGCTTGATACTCAAACTGGACTTCATTTGTAATAAATGCTGACGGGCAGCTAGAACCGGAGGGATGAAACTGCATCTCATGTCACGTACATTTTATGTAGTTTAGCTTTGAATTCATGGTTTCACAAGGCTGTTTAGTGTTGCATTTTCACTACAAATAAACAGCACCAGAGTACATTTAGAAGCAGATTTGGAATCCCACATACTTCGGTGGTGTACGTGCAGTTATTTTTTTCTCTTCCAGGATTCAAATAACTCACGAGGCTTAACAAACTGCAGTTAATGGGGAAAAAACATCAGTATTTGTTGAATCCTCACTAAATAAGTTAAGTGTGAAATCAGCCTTCCTCTAAAATTTGAAATTTGGCCCACCAGCAGATGTTTTAGTACAGTGGTGCCACACACACATTCGCACAGTCCCACACACATACATTCAACAAGTAACAGGAAACCTTATCTTAACAACTGTCACTCCAGGTGGACTATTGCTTTGTTTGGAGCCCGTTCAAGAGGCCTGTGTGTAAGGCCGTCCATATCAGAGGCCCTCTGTCTCTTTGAGAGCCCTTACAGTGAACCCATTGCTCAATACAGTGTTACTCTTCAGACAAAACACAGACTCAACTCTTATTCCCATGATTCTTTAAAGATTTCTGACTGTGTGTATAAAGTTGTTTCAAGAAGAAAATGCTGCTGCAGTTGTGGTTTGGTGCATAGAATTGATTTGGCAAGTTTTTACTTAAAGAGCACAAACAAAACCTGGGAAAAGGGATGAGGGAATAAACATTGCTTAATCACTATTTGCTTACATTATGCTTGTGGAGATTCTTAACATCCGCAATAGGTTGTTGTTGGAAATGTGACTTTTTGATATGGAAATGTGTAGTTCTCCCTGTCTGTTTCCTAACAGTGACAGAAGCTGGTTTTGGAGCGGACATCGGGATGGAGAAATTCTTCAACATCAAATGTCGGGCTTCAGGGCTCAGGCCAAATGTGGTGGTGTTGGTTGCAACTGTCCGAGCGTTAAAGATGCATGGCGGTGGCCCAAATGTAAGTTAACACAACACCACAGACTGATGTGTTTGAATTGCTGGATAACTGGATAAGTACAACTTTACAATGGCCACAACACTTTCTGTCTTTTTTTTTTTTTTCTCTCCATAATGCTGCCTTAGAATATCATAATGTGGTCTTGCAGCCTGGCTTTTACATTTTCTCTGATGTAGTAGAATTTAGTGATCAAGCGTAGATGTTTTCAACACCCTACGCTAGCATGTGACACATGTTGTGTAAAGAGTCTTAATCACCCATATAAACAGGCTGCTATGCATCAGACCTGAACAGATGTATACAGTGCATCTTAAAAAGACACATAACAACCGTTGCATGACGGTTTCAGTGGCCTTTTTATGAGCTAAATTCTCCTTTTGTGTGGTAGTATGCTGTCCTGGTACACCTCCTTGCTGCTCATTAATGGCTGAATACGATCACGTGCCAAATACAAGAAGGGCATTTAAGGCCAAGATGGCATTTCTGATAGGTCAGGCTTATGTTCCAGATTCGTTTGGAAACTTTTAGATGTTTGTGCGTTCCTCCGTGAAAAAAAAATACTTGAATGACCCACGTTCATACAACAACAATGGCAACAATAATAGAAATCTACATAGAATTTCTTGGTCCTTATCGGTCTGCATCCCATTTATTGAAATGAATGCCTCAAATTAATAGCAGTGTTCGAAGGCTTTTCCATGAAAACATTTAAAAGAGAAACATGGCAATAAAATAGCTATTCTGCATTAGAAATAAATGTGTCCAAAAAAGCTACAAGCTGGAAAGTGAAATAATACATTGTTGAATGTGATAAAAGACTGAGGTGTGTGTGATTACTTGTTTTCTCTGTGTGTTTTCAGGTGTCAGCAGGCACACCTCTTCCCAAAGAGTACATTGATGAGGTATGAGCCATATTGATATGCATAAATGCACACATAAACAAGCTTAGCCACTGTGATGAAAAGAGAAACATAAGGGAGACGAGACAAACCTGTAAACATTTTTGAGGTGCGGAGTTTGGGGGTTGTTATGTCACTTCCAATTAAGTGAAAAGAATTGTCTGAGCCTGTTTTACTACATTTAGTCATAAAGGACAGGATGTTTCAAGGAAGATTAAAGCTAATTAAACTCATTGGCCAATGCAGGGCCCCAATTATAAAACAATCACATGCTCATTACTATAACTCTATTTAGTTATGTGTGTTGTGTTTTTGAGTGAACTGCCATGCATAACTATGGGTGGCGATGCAACATCCTGTTAGTGCAGCTTTGTGGCCCTTCAACATTCCCAACAGGCCTCTTACAGCCCTGACCTTCTGTAAAGATGTAAAAGAGTAGGATAATGCTGAGTTGCATGGAGATGACTTGCTGCACACTAACACATTGGTGCAACACAGTTCACACAATATCACAGATCACTTATCAAATGTTTTTGCTGGTTGGTCCAGTTTTGGATATGACCCATCATTTGACACATTTATAGAGGTTTTTATTCCCTCAGGCTCCAGCTGTATTCTCGCAGACATTTAATTCCCCGCCTATATGCATAAATACTTCGCCCACTAACATGGTTAAGAGTACTTATTTGATTAACAGCGCAAATAAAACCTTTGCATGTGGTTTCCGGGTATTTGGGCGTTAGCAGTCTGTGTGTGTGCACGTTCATATCTGACTAGAATCACTGGTCTTTCAGCCAGGCTCAGCTGAGTAAATAATGAAGCAGTATAAGTTAATTGTGAAGCCTATAATGAGAACCAGAAGTACTTTGGAAAACAGATCCAGGGAAATGAATTTATGGGACCTTTATGGCCTTACTGCTCTGAGCCTGGGGCTGCGCGCGCACACACACCCCTACACACACCTAGTGCAAGATTGGATTACTGCAGTCAAACTAGCTGCACAATATGCTTTAATGTGCTTAGGAGTCGCTGGACTTCTGCGCACCCATAGTTGTGCCAGGCCGTGAATGGCAGCGAGCAGGGGGTGAGTGTTTTATCCACTGCACAGCCCAGTAAGGTAAAGTTGTTGAGGATATGTTGAAGGTATGCTAGTCACAAACCACAGTAAGAGCCCGTCTCCTGCAGCTCTTCTCAGCTCACTGTGGCTATAACGGCTCCAATACGGCTGAAAGTGTAAAATATAACTTAATATCTGAGAACAAACAGAAGCACAAGAGTGAAACTAAACTCCAAATCACAGAGATTCACGTTGAAGCTTGAAAAGTACGGAGAGACTTTTAAAAAGAGAGCTTTCACTCTAGTTTCCAGCACAGAGACACATGAGTTTAGCCACTGAGGAGACAGTTAAGGGGAGGATGTTATCAGCCCTGCTACCAAGCAGGAACCCCCTGTTGCAAGGCTGTAGTGAAAACGCATGGCTTGGCACTGTGTGGCTAAAGAGGACCATGAGTAAAAAAAACATTCTAATAAGGCACAAGGTGAATGCCATAAATTCTGATTTAGTTGCTGATATTTTGGAGAACTCCAGCTAAATTAGTAAATTGGAAATTAAACCATTTAAAGTAGACTTTCACTAGACTTCCTGTCATACCGTTCAAATTATGTCTCTAAAAACTATTTGGCAATGAAGGCCAAATGGAGATCTCCAGCATTTTCCCCTGATGTGCTGATAATGTAATTAAAAACTATCCTCAGTGTTTAGTCACATACAATTTTTTTTGTTTTTGTTTTTTTGCACACATTTAGTGTTAAAACTCTATAGCCGCTTCGGTGTCATTTATAGTTGTAAATCATGCACATCATTTCTTTCCCTTTTTTACAGTGTATTTACGTTTTTGAAGTAGTCTAATGAACAAAACTAGTCTCGTTGCTGTAATGTTGCCTTATGTTATGAGGTGGGAGAAATCCTCTAGCCACACATCCTTATCAAAGTTTTGTCATGATGGCTAACATGCTTTGATAGACCGCTGTAGTACATTTTATCGGTGTGTTTTGCAATATCAACTGAATTACAATAATACATTTCTGACCTTATGCTTTGTTTCTTCCGTCTCTATTTCCACTAGAATCTGACCCTAGTTGCAGGCGGTTGCCGTAGCAATCTCAGGAAGCAGATCCAAATAGCGCACCTGTTTGGGGTACCAGTCGTGGTGGCGCTCAATGTCTTCAAGTAAGATTCATGCAGACATACGTCCACAAAAACGCAACCTAACTTAAGTCACAGTAAATTAATAAACTTAACAGTAGTAATGGGCAGTGGTGGAAAAAGTACTCAATTTTCATACTTAAGTAAAAGTACAGATACCACATGAAAAATGTTACTCAAGTAAAAGTTATCCAGTATAAACCTACTCAAGTAAAAGTAAAGAATACCTGGTTTTTAACATACTTAAGTAATCAAAAGTATTACACATCAAAATCTGTTGATCTTACAAAACGCAATCTATCTTTTTAAATTCTCTCAAGACAGATTTGAATACAGCACTATAAGTATAGTGAATCACAATAAGGAAAACTGAGTCGCAAGCTCTCATAAAGTGCAGCTCACAGTCCCAAACAGAGCAGGATTGGCTTCATTTTTCAGATGTTTATATCACAAACTCTACCAGCTACATTACCACTCGGTCACAACTGGGACTGCTGCACAGTCACACCTGACAGCACAATGCTCTCACTGCAATCCTCCTCTGTAAGAAGCCTGAATAGAAACCGCTGCTAGAAAAACCCAGTGCTGGTTTGAATGGACCTCTGCGCACTAACTCAGACCTCATGAAGTCTGTTAAGACTGGGGCCAATCTGCTGGGCCATTTGGTAGAGCCGCAACTGTTCCATTACAGTCTGAGCTGCTTGTATCTGATGCTCATCTGGCTGTGCTCGTAAGGGCTGAGGCTAGATGTGTTTCACCTGGGTCTGTGTGACCTGCTAGAAAATTCTGGACTGGGTCTGTGCTGGTACTGGCTGAGCCTGGATGTGGATCAGCTGTGCTTATACTGGCTGACTGGCTGGAGTCTTTTCTTGTACTGGCTGATGATCCAGCACCTACTCTGACAAACTTTAGCTCAGCCCCTGTAAATTATAGATATTTTCTATATATTAATGTTATCAGCTGCATCAGGCCCATTCTGGCTCCACCAGGTTTCCTTAAATACATTTGTCCCACAGATGTTTCTTGCTCGAATGCATGACTGTAATTTCGTGCACGTGCATATGAACACATTTCCACACGCAACGTGGTCATCTTTCCGAGCTAAAGTTTGTTTATAAACTGGCCCATCTGCGTTTATCAACGTAAAATAGTTTAAATAGCATTTCACTCAACATTTTTCTGTCACAGTCTGACAAGCAACCAAGACACAGACACACAAAGCTGTGCTGCTCAGCTGGTTAGCAGACAGACAGACAGAGAGATTTACTGCAGCTGCACATTAGACATAAGTATGATCTGTTGACATCAGACATTGAGAGGAGAACACAAGTTTACCAGACTGCTGTTCCCGCACTTCACTCTCATTGCGTTTTTCTCTTCTTGTGCCTAGAAGGATAGTTCATCCTCTCGTCAAAGTTTTAAACATTCATGGTCACCTTTGACAGGAAAGTGAGGCAGGGCCGTTCAGCTCTGCGCTGTTACGCATCAGAGGCGTAAGTACAGTAACAAAGTATTTGTACTTGGTTGCTTTCCACCACTGGTAATGGGATAATTCATAAATTACGAAGGCCCACAAAAGCACCATTTCTATTAGCTCCATTTTGTCTCTAAATATGTAATTTGTTGTCAGTCCACCAAGCACTGCTAACAACGCTTCCCTTGGTGATCCTTTAGGACTGACACCCAGGCAGAGATCGACCTTGTGTGTCAGCTAGCAAAAGAGTGCGGAGCGTCTGACGCTGTGCCATGTCACCACTGGTCGCAGGGTGGGCGAGGTTCTCTTGAGGTGGCCCAAGCTGTGAATGAGGCTGCCGGCAGACCCAGCAACTTCCAGTTCCTGTACAACATAGAGGTAGAGCAGATATCTGGATTTTGTGTATTTTACCAACAAAACATAAATAAAGATCCGCTGCAGACTTGTTTTAAGATATAAATATTCAGCTTGGAATTATAATTTGTCGTATAAAGATTCTTTAATTCTTAAAATCTACTCCTTTCCCCCAAAGAAAAATCCAGAATATATGAATAAATGTGAATTTTTTATTTCAAAAGTTTAATTACTGGACACTGGACATAAATCTACCTTCCTACATGACATCTCCTACAGCACTGAAAAGTATGTTTTAGTGTATGTGCCATGTAGGCTTTCCACATTCCACTTGTGCAAGTTGCATAATGGAACATATTTGGCTTTCAAACTAGACACAGTGTCACAAATCTTGCTTATACATCCATGGTTGAAACTTTGGTGAACACAGAGAAACAATTGCCAATTTGGCAGATAAATGTGAAAACAGCCATCTAGTGTCAAACTCACACATACATCATTCTGCACAGTGAAGTTCAAACATCTAAGTGGAAGTAACAATAAGCAAAACACATCTTGAGAAGAGGGGGACTTGACAAATATAGCCTTGTACTGAAGCACAATGCATTTGTTTTATTTCCGTTATATAAGCAGTTGTCATTATCCCAATCCTACTTTTATTGGGTACTTTCCATTTGCAGTGAATGATGATGTTTGCTCTGGGCACACAGCCAAAGAATGTAGAGGTAAAAAACATCAGCTGGTTTGAGTTAGTAAGTTTGGGAAGTTGTGACTTACATTAACTATTCCTGTTACGCTGCCATGAGTCCATGCATCTTTGTGTCCCTTTTTTACAGTATGAATGTGTGCCTGCATACCAAGTGTCCAACAGTAGGAGTACAATAAGTCCAGTACTGATTTAATTAATCCAGGCTGAAGCACAGTCAATAAATGTGGCAATAATTAATTCATAAGTCCAGTATTCAATCTTCACAGTATTCCAAGTTCACAATGGCAGGTAAGTGGAGTAGTATTTGGAGGAAGGTCAGTGAACAGTGGAGCTTGGAGGAATGTTTGGGGTGACAGACAACCTCAGGGTAGGACTCTTGGTGGTGCATGGTCACAGACCTAACTTAAAAGATGAAGAGGCCCCAAAACAGCCCCAGAGAGCAGAGCAGAGGTGTCTGAAAAGGGGCACCCAGCAGGACATGTGGCAGACAGCAGCAGACCTGCAGGTCAGACTTTAGGATACAAGGGGACGTTTTACTGGGAGCGTTTGGTTCAGTATGTCTCAGGAGGAAGAGAAAACAATTTTAGCAGCATCCATGTGAAAACTGGCCATAGTAGAGAACATGTCATGCTAAGAAGGCCTTAATGATGTGCCCAATAATGAAATTAGACTCTCTACAAGCCAGCATGTTGTTTTTGATTCCAGTAATCTATAAACTTTAGATTTAATTTTTTTTGCAATTTTCCTTCACTTTGCATGTCCTAGCTACTGTACCATGATTTAAACACCTGTCAGGCCACAGAGAAATCTAAAGTCACATTGATCAACAGTTCTGGCAGCTTAAAGATGAACAAGCAAAAGATTTGTCAATCTCAGGCATATCTCCAAATTAACTTATTCAGGTTATATGCTGTATGTTAATGTCTAATATGCTGTGCAGTCCTGTTGACACCATGGTGCGAGGGTTATCTAGCAATGTTATGTATTTAACTGCTGAGAAAGCAGAGGAAAACAAGGTATACAGGATCTAGTACGAGTCAAACAATAGAAGTCAAACATGTTAAGATGTAATTTGCTCTGTGTAGCTCTTAGTAACCCTGACGTCATATTGATGTGTATTCACTAAATCTAATTTCCTTTGACCGGAGTGCTCATGTGTTTCCTCTGTCTCTGATACACCGTCTTTCCAATAGATGCCGATAGTGGAGAAGATCAGAACAGTTGCACAGAAAGTGTATGGACTGATGCATCGAGCTGTCTCCAGAGGCCAAGTCCAAGATAGATTACTATAATCAACAGGTGAGATCACTGCTGCTGCAATAACAACCGACTCATCTGCTTGTCTCTGTCTCTCTTTGTGTCTCATTTTCTCTCTTTCTTGTACATGCACCCATTAGCCACTTGTTTTCTTTTTCCCATAACCAGGGCTATGGTTCATTGCCCATCTGCATGGCCAAGACTCACCTGTCCCTGTCCCACATGCCTGACAAGAAGGGTGCACCCACTGGATTCATTCTGCCAAT